GGAGGAGAGGGGGGAGGGGGTGGGAGGTGTCTTCCAAACAGAACGCCGCCGAGACTCACTTACCTGTTCGCACGCAAACTGACATTGAAGTCTTATCAGCACTCGTTAAGGACGGTGGCGCTTCAGAGAACAGAGCGACGGGGAGGAGATTACAACTTCTACCGCTGTGCCAATTATGGATTCATCCCTCTGAAAACACACCCTGACAGGGAGGGAGGGAAGGAAGGAAGGAGGGAGGGAAGGAGGTTTGGCGTCGCGTTGTTCCTCACTCTTTTAACTGAGGGCCCACCGAGCAGTGCGACCAGCTGCTTTCTCCCGGGTGGGGAGCTTTTAATAGAGAAAATGATTCCCTGGGGGGACGGGGGGCTCTGCTGTGGCACTACCGCTCATCGTCATTTTTCCGCGTGTCTCTCTCTACGCTAAGCAGCCGGCAGCTGGCCTGGGGGGGGAGTCGTGGTGGGTGGGGTGGCTTCAGGAGTTCACGTGCATCACCCCGTAGTTCTGTCTTTTTTACAGGCCCCCGCCTCCCAACCCCCCGCCACCCCTGAGGCCGGTGGCGGCTCGGCTGCGCCGGTAATCCCTCAATAAATGTGGGTCAGAGCGTTGGGCTTTGCCTCCGTCACTCAGCGACGGGACAGACAGCAGGGGTCACGACCCCGGTCATCCGGCGTGCACTCACGCGTGCGCGCGCCTGCGCACGCAAACAAACACCAAAAGACACGGATGGACGAGCAGCCACACACGGACAAAACTCACACAGACAAAAACAACTCGGACCCGAATGCAGATGGGAGATCAGGGGAGCCGGAGTGATGAGAATTTCAATGGAGGTGTTGACTGACAGAGAATAAATGAGTAGCTTACTTCTGACAGTTGGGAAAATCATTTGATGGGGCGAATGCGTCTTTAAGCAAAGATGCCATTAACAGCGTGCGAGAATATCGGGTCCTTTGAGTCCGCTGCGACGCAGAGAACTATTGGACAACAGGCGCAGAAATATCTACAGAGGTTGGAAATGGCCCGTGTCGTTTAACGAGCCAAAGATATCAAACATTTTCTGCTTCCAGCTCCTTAAATATGATCGTGTTTTTGTTCCGTTTGATATGACCGCAAATTTAACATTTGCCTTCTGCAAATTGGATATTTCCTTTTTCTCACTGCCACCTTAAGACGCAACCTCTACCTGTGGGAACCTGGAGCGGTTCGTTGGCATCTTTCAGATGACATCGATGCTCTAAAAGTTATTTCCGTTCCAGCTGATCACCAGAGACTGCGTCTGCTGAGAAAAAGAGGCGTCCACCCCCCCGTGGAAAAAAAACAACAACGTTAATGAAAGTCAGGAGCTGGGGGGGGGGGGGGGGGTGTATAGATGGCCTGATAAGATAAGTCATGCGCTTAGAATCTGTCCACACGTGCTGCGCATTCAAACTTATTACCCTCCAACGTCACGAGCTCTATCGGGGAGAGAGATCATGAAATATTCATCATCTATTAATCGAGCGACGGGAAAAACAAACAATGGCAACGTGACCGGCGCCCTCTCCAAACCGCCAACAGGACTCTGCTATCAGGCGGCGGCGCGCTAGCATTCAGGGGAATGCCGGTGTTCTCACTCATAATAGTGTTGGAGCGAGATAAGGTGGAGGAGGTGGGGTTGTGTGTGTGTGTTTTTCCTTTCCCTTGGCCCAGATCGGCAACTGCCTCTCAGTCTGTGGCAGCGTGTCAACGAAATGTCAACCGCAGCAGTGTCGTCATTAAAAAGGAAGAAAGGAAAGAAAAAGAAAAAAGGGAAATGGAAATGTGGCAGGGAGCCATCTCCGGCTACATCGCATCAGTGTTTCCATGTCACTTAGAAGGGGGGGGGGGGGGGGGGCGACAAGGAAGGACGGCGGGCCTCTTTGCTCCGGCGATTCCTCGCGCTTTTGAGGGGATTTTCTCGAGAAAACGTACATTCTGCTGATGACACACTCGTAAGGATGAAAAATGCCGCAGCGCTCAACGTCGCCGTCATTGACGCCTAGTGGGGAGATCACAGCACACGGGGGCAGCTTGTGGGGACTCTCATGCCCGACTCGGCCAGCGCACCCGGACATGCGTTTATCACTTAACCTCACACTCACTCGCCGTCATCTCAGGACACACACACACACACACACACACACACACACACACACACTTCTGCACTTAACTTTGTCATTCACCCCCCCGGCCAACTCTCCTTTCGAGTCCCTCGGGTGACCTTGAGCGGCAGCTTCCAGTGAAGCAGCTAAAGTACAAAGCTCGTGTGTGCCAACAATGGTGGTTAAGTATTAAATGGGTGTGTGGGGGGGGTGACGCAGTTAGTCAGCGGAAGGCTTAACGGCGAGCAAACCAAGCGGTGTGTGTGTGCGCAGGTCTGACTTTAATGGAACACTTAATAGTTTTAATGATGCCACTCGTAACATGAGACGCACTTTGGATCGCTGCAGGATAATCTACTCACCAGTGGAATACGGAGAACTCGCAGTACTTGAAAGGGAAAGTGAATGACAAAATACAACAACCCCCCCCGGAAGGGATTCACTATCAGGAGATTCACCAGATGAGACATTTAAAAAGAAGAAACGGGAAGTATTTCCACACAAAATGAGCGCACACATCCCTGGGAATGGAGGGAGTCCACCGGGGAGGCGGGCTTAGTCACCGCGCTCGTGTGAAAGCTGTCAATCATCGGGGCCGCGGCTGCCCGGATCATCATCCGCACCGCTGAAAGCCCACTGGATAATGCAGCAGTGAACGAGGCCCTTTCATCAGCGCCCGGCCGTGGAAGTGGAGCGCAGTGACTCCGATTGAAGGCTATTGCAGCGAAGGAAAATCAATTCAATGAATGTGCGCGGCGCATAGCGCGTCAAACGCTCATGCGGCGGCTCCCGGGCGCCTCTCCCCCTGCTGCATTCCTCATGAAGGCAGCGGGGTCGGAGGTCAGGAGGCGTACCCGAGCCCACACGTAGCGCAGCCATCGGCCGTGTGGCTAAATATTGACCGTACACAAGCAAACCACACGTCCAGGTACGTACGCTGAATAGTGCGCGGCCTCCTCCGCCCGCAACAGCTGCTCTGGCACGCGTGTGCACTCCAGGGTCCGCACCGCCGCGTCGAGACCGGCGGGCAGCACGTGGAACAGTCGGAGGTTTGGAGACTCGTTCTCATTGAATTGAATGACAACATGTGTCAAACTTTGCACTGGCAAGGTTTTTGAAATCAGACTCGAATGAAAAGGCCTCACTTTGATTCAATCAGAAGAAGAAAACAGCTTTAAAAGGGTTGTTAGTTTCACTGTGTTGACAGGTGAAAAAAAAAAAGTAGGGCAGCAAGTCTAAACCCACGTTAACAAAAGCAGCAAACTCATTTCTGCAACAGAGGCGGGCTGTGAGGAGCTTGAGGAGCACGTAAAATGCTGGAAAAGTGTTGTGGAGGAATGAAATTGGATTCATCGAGTTGGAGGCGGGGAAAGAAATCAGATGCATTGTCGATGCTGGAAATGAAATGACTAACAGGCGGCGGTATTGATCAAAAATAAATCAACCGTGACGCCCACCGCGGGGGAGAGTGGTGGTCGGGGGGAGGGCTTCGGTTCCCTGAACTCGCTGAGATCGGCAGTCGGGCAGCCGACTGTGGCAGCGACATGTTCCAGCTACAGAGGGTACCTCTGGGAAAACGAGAAGGGATGGTAGAAAAGAAGGGAGGCGGGGGGGTGAGCCCCGAGCGGAGCAGAGGTGGGGTGTCCGACGGCGACTGGAATGCAGATAATGGATGACACATCTCTCCAGGGGAGAGCGAGCCCGAGGCATCGAGGGAATGCGAGCGGGGAAGTGGGGGACGGGCGAGGGCCGGATGACGGATGAGTCGTACAAGCGCATGCCTGGCAAGTTTTGTTAGAGTTCACTTTTTTGACATCACCCTGCTGTCAAGGGTTTTTTTCCCGGTCAATTCAAGGTCCAGGGAGAGTCACCTTCTACTGCAAACGTTTGGGCGGGCACACCCCCCACAGGAAAATATGTTTAAATTAACTTTTCTGTATCCTGCCCGTCCGTCCTTTAACCTTTACGTGCTGTGCGTGCGTACAATGAAACAAACACGCCCACTCCTGAACAATGCAGACAAGTGCTGTTTACACATGCGAAAGTCCAGAAAAGGCCCGACGGAACGGTCCGATGAACTCCGATCACAGCGTAATCCAGCCATTGTAAACCTCAAACGGCGACTACACCAGCTTCTGATCCTCCAGGTGGGTGTGGGGGGACATTAATAAACACCTCGAAATAACTGTACACCTCAAAAATTAGAGGTAATCAACTTGCCCCCGGGCGCTAAGTGGGAAGGATGGCACCAAGTCTCGGGAATGAAGGTGATAATTAACCCATTACCGCTAATTTATTTGCGCGGAATTGCTTCATCTTTCAACTAAACTTGTTCACGCGCCACTGTGCAACAGACACCAGGGGAGGAGGGGGAGGGGGGGGGGGGGGCGCCAAGGTCACAAGGGTCGCACTCCGGATCGGTTCCAGTGTGAGAACTCTCCGCGTGGACTTTCCCTGTGCTTGCACCTTGAGTGCAGGGGTGCAAAAAAATAATTATCTACCGGGTCCCTGGATATCCTGCTGGAAGCTGCAGTGTTCCCATGGAGCGGAAGAGGGAAGGAGTAAGGGAGGGAGTGAATTCCTTCATATTGAAGAAGGGAGGGTGGTCAAAGGAGCTAATAGACCGTCTGGGAGAGCTTTACTTCATGCTTGAAAGGGAGGACCAGGGAGTTAAAAACCAGGCCATGTAGCAGTGGGACATAAAAAGCTTGTTTAACGATGACCTGCAGTCAGGGTGGTGCGTGCGTGCGTGTGTGTGTGCGCGCGCGTGTGTGGGCGTAATACTTATTTTGCTGAAGGTGCATGGTGGCTGATCCACATTCTCAGTCATGGGGAGTCATGTGAGCTGAAATAACCATCATGGACGCGCGCGCCACTTACTTGTCGTACTCCGCGTTGTCCGCGTCGCAGCGCGCGTCCTTGTGCCTCTGCCAGTCCTTGCCGTGCTTGCAGGTGGTGAGCAGCACCACGTCCTCCGCGTTGTGCACGTGGTGCAGGGCGTTCCGGGTGTCCGAGCCGATGCCCGTCAGGTAGCGCTTCCCCTTGAACACCAGCGCGTACTTTCGGAGCGGCGGGATGGAGTTGTACTTGAGGAAGCCGCTGCTCCCCGCCCGTGCGCGGGTGCTCCTTGGAGAACAGCGGGATGGACACGTCGAAGCTGGGCCGGAAGTTCTCGGTGCTGATGCTGGCTTTGGCCAGCATGGCCTGGCCGATGTCGAAGCCCAGGTCTTCCGTGTAGTCCGGCCACGTCCCCGAGTACAGGTTGAATATGAGGTGGTTCCTGCCGTCGTTCCACAGGGGCAGGTTCTGGACCTTGGTCTTCAGGTTGTGCACGTACTGCGGGGACAGCTGGTCCCGGTCCAGCGTGTCCAGGCTGAGGATGAACAGGCACGCTTGTCCGGGGTCCGAGGTGTAGAACCGGGAGCCCTCGATGGTCGCCAAAATATTCTGATAGCTCTCGGAGATCTTCTCGCCCTTCTGCTGCGGGTAAACGTAAACTTTGAATCCGTTCTTCTGACACGGGGCGAAATCAAAGCAGGAGTCCACGCGGCACCGCCTGCCCCGGTACACGCTCGTGTTGACGTCCCTCTTCTGCCTCGGGGACACGTGCAGGTTGTACTCCTCGGTGTCCGTCTGGTCCGAGGGCAGGAAGAGGTGTAACGGGTCCGAGAAGTGGGGCCAGGGCTGGTCGGGCCGGCGCGCGTTCCTGCCGCGGTCACGCCGGCTCCTGCTCGCCGCCGGAAGCCGAACCCCCCCGAGGTAGGAGAGGAGCGCGAGGCAAGCGCCGGCGGAGAGCAGGATCAGGTAGCGTTTTTTGGCCTGCATGTGTCCTGGCAACTGGGACGCGTCGTTTTGGGAATAAAAAATGTAAAGTGGCCCGAAGTTAGGCTCTCACCAACCCCGGCTGCACCGCTCCATCCTCCGGCAGCCTCCACGGATCCCCAACCCCCCGTCTGCGTGTTCGGTTCCCAAATCCAGCAATTGATCCGGTGCATGTGGGCGATTATTTTTTTTGGGGGGTGGGGGGGAGGTGGTTGTTTAAAAGTGCCGTCCCGTTCTCCCTTTGCCACAGAGGTCCACCATGTCGAACGCGTGCCCGCGGAGGGGCTTAAGGTGCCCGGCGGAGAAGAATAAAAAAAAGAGAAAAGAGAGGACGAACGAGCTCCGCGCCGCGCGGACCCCGGCGGAGAGTGTGCGAGGACCCCGTCGGTGTGCGAGTCCAAATGCCGCCGGCTGAATTCGTCCTCTCTCTCTCTCTCCCCCCCCCGCCCCAACCACCACCCTTTTACCGCCCCATGGTCCCGTGTGGAGAGAAGCAACTAAAAGAAGAAGAAGCAGAAGAGAGAAGCGACGCAGCGGCTCAGCGGTACAACTGTAACCGGACGAATCCCTGCATTGCTCTTCTTATTTATCGCAAGCTGCTCGCGCGCTCCGCTGGAACGGGAGAAAACACACCGGCGCGCGCGCAGAGTTCGGGCGGGCGGACGCTGAACCTCACACCGGGCGGGTGGCGGAGAAAATGTTCAAAAAGACGGGGTTCCGTGATCGCAGTGTCCAATTACCGAGTGCTCGCTCGTCCCGATTGTTAGTCCATAACATTCCAATCCCGACACGACGGCAGCTGCCGTCCCATCGATGCCCACCGGCGCCGCTGATTGGTCCGTTAGAGGGAGCGGAAGAGGCGGGACTTGCACTAACGCACCCATTCATGACCGTGGTCCTCCGCATGTGCGAATTGTCTTATTGCGAGCCTATGGTTGTAGTTTGGAGATGTGTCAGAAGCAAAGCGCCCCTCAGTAATAATAATATAGATTTCCATTGGACGCTTTTATTATGACATGCAGGCTCATGACTCATTCTATATACATGTATACACATATACATAGGTATATATATATATATATATATATATATATATATGTATACACATATACATATATATATATATATATATATATATATATATGTATACACATATACATAGGTATATACATATATATACACATACATATATACATAGGTATACATATACACATATATATATACATAGGTATACATATACACATATATATATACATATATATACACATACATATATACATAGGTATACATATATATACACATACATATATACCTATCATACATATATACACATACATATATACATATATATACACATACATATATACATAGGTATACATATATACATATACACATATATATACATATATACATATATACATGTATGTATACATATATATATACATATATACATGTATATATACATATACATGTATATATACGTATATATATACATATATACATGTATATATGCATATATACATACATATATACATGTATGTATACGTATGTACATGTATATATACATATATACACATATATACATACATATATACATGTATATATACATATATACATGTATATATACGTATATACATGTATATATACATATATACATGTATATATACGTATATACATGTATATATACATATATATATACATATACATATATACATGTACATATGTATATGTATATATACATGTACATATACATATATATACATATATATGTATATACATATATATACACATATATACATGTATATATACATATAGATACATATATATGTATATACATATATATATACATATATACATGTATATATACATATATATACATATATATGTATATACATGTATATATACATATACATATATACATACACACACATACATACACACACATATATATATATATATACATATATATATGTATGTATGTATGTATATATATATACACATATACACACACGTACATATATATACATATATATATATACACACACATATATATATATATATATACATACATACATACATACATACATACACACACACACACACATTATATTTTATTTTATTTATATTCAGCACTCCGGTAACTGAATGCAATACCGTATTGCTTTTTTTCTTTTGTTGCAGCTCATTGACCCATACAAACAAACCTGGACAACCATGTCAACAATTTCCTTTATGGGAAAGCTTTATACGGGAAAAAGGGACAGAAGTCCTGTCCAAGCCACAAAAGTAAGATTATCCCTGAGCAATTTGCCTGTAGCATGCTGTAACGCTGACATTGCCTCCAGGACTCTGTGGAAAAGAATGATGTCATTGGTAATTTGTCTCATAAAAACACCCAGTAAAAGATTTAAGACACAAAGGCCCTCCACGAGAATAACTTGTCGGATGTCAAGTTTCCTTGTGTTCACAAAAGAAAAAAGAAAGAAGCAAAGTGACACTGCAGCGTTGACCCCTTTGACAAGCAAATTAATAGCAGGGGAGTGTTTCTCGCTCAGTATCACCATGCCTCATAAGCCCGCATAATCCTCCCCACAGCCATTTGGTGGCAAAACTCTCCGGCTGGGTGAAGAGGCCATCCTCATTTTTTATTGGCTAATTAGTTCCAAAGAGGGGGGGCTAATTAGCCAGGCTGACTGGGAGACAGGCCAGGACCCTGTGGTTGGCCGGCGCCCATCGTCGGAGTATGCTGGTGATGAATGCGGTTCCAGAGGGCTGCTCCTGTCTTACTTGTCCTGCCTAATCCAATGTCAAGCAGCACATATATATATGAAGATGTGAACCGTGAAGTCTCCGTCTACCTAGAACAGGTAGCAGCCTTGAATTTTCTCCCTACTTACTTAACTGCACTCTGATGGAAAAGACACACAACGGTCAATTCAACACCACTGGTGTCAATCTTGTTGTCGGTGCCTGGTTTACCTCGCCTTCACACCTCCCATATTGAAGATAGGGTGCACATAAACGCACACAGTCCTTATTTTTTTAAACCGTGCCTTTAAACGAAGCCTGCAGAGCTCCTCCAACGTCTATAAAGTCAGTGGCAGCCGTGTCGCTGAACTGTGTGTAGTTGACACACACACACACGGTGAATCCCCGACTGCAGTGACACTGACAGCACAGACGGAAAAACACCACTTTGAGGGGGGGAGGCTTAAACCCCTAAAATGGAGCGTGTCAATCAAAGAAGATGGAACCATCTGCATAGGGACATTTTCTTGAAAAAGGCTTGTGTCTTGTTATGTGTTGTGGGGTTTTTTTGCCGCCACAAAGCATTTCTCAGATCGCAGGTGAGACCCAGCAGAGACAGTAGGCGTTCACTGCGGCGCCATCAAAGGCGCCACGTACCCCCAGGTTGTACCCACGTGTGTGTGCCCACTGCTTTGGAACAATTTGGAGCCGTGTGGTCTCCGCATGACAGCGCTGGAGGACTGGGAGTCATTCCAGAGAGCTTCGCCTCACTCCCCTCCCTTCATCCTCTCCTTGTGTACACTTCTAATATTTCCACCCCCGATAAAAATTCCCCTCTTCAATCCCACATGCTTCTCGTTCACAAGACTGCATCATGTCTGAGATGTGAGGCCAGCTGTGAAACAGTATAAAGTTAAACGTTGAAATGTGTTTATCTTTATTTATGACTATATGCAACCCTTGTATTGCCCCAATTGGTGGGTCTCGAGTGTTCCAATTCATTTTCCTTCACAAACCCACACGGAGCCATTACATTCTGAGAAAAACAGTTTGTCACCTTTGTAAAACCCACCAGCTCTTCCGAGAATACTCACCGCTGGTTTTCCAAAGTATTAGCAGAACTAACCATCTGGATGAAAAGATTTGTCTGCTGTGCAATATAAACCTGTTTTAGTACCTGATCCCTCAGTTGTTCCTTTGGTTTTTATTTAAAAAACAGAGATGGTGGGTGGACATGACACTTGGGCTAAAACTAAAAAAGACCACACATTTGAGTTTCAGTCTTTGGATTTGGCAGAAAAGTTTTTCCTGTTCACTCATGGATTTGGACGGCCTGAGAGAATAAGAAAGTCATTTGTAAGTGTAAAAAAAGAGTGTGTAATACCCCTTTAGGGTAAGTAAGTTCTTACTACAGTGACCGGGATGAGTCCGGCCGAGGGCCCCTCGCTGCTTCCTCTCTCTCTCTCTCTCCTCTGCATTCACAATCAAATGAAGCAGAAAATAGTATTTTAACGGACTCGGGGCACTTCTACACCCTGTGTCACAAAGTAATTAAATCACAACTAGCACCAGATGTTGAAGTAGTTTTAGTAGTTATATGTCCTGACTGAATAAACAAATTAAAATGTACCTGTGGACTTCCTCTTCTCCTGCAAAGCGCTTCCCCTCAGTGACGGCAAGCAGCCATGGGAAAGACTTGCAAATTCATGCCGCGGTAAACAAATCCGCGCGGCTGCAAGGAAACCTGTGGGTTCAGCGAGTTTCAGGCAGGACAAAGACAAAACAGCCTTTGAGAGTCTTCAGGCTGCTGCTGATCAGTCACTGATAAACTCGGGATGATGTAACAAGCTGGGATCCAGCAAACACAAAGGCCGTGTGTGTGTGTGTGTGTGTGTGTGTGTGTGTGTGTGTGTGTGCGCCCATCAAGGTGTGCATATGCCCAAAAATACTGTATCCCAGGAGTGCGGCGTGTGTGTTGCTTTGGCTCCGTGCACCTGGCTTGGTTATGCACTAGAGACTGTATTTTAGTGGTGTGTGAAGAACAAGTCTCACATCAAAATGACTTTACTTTTTAAAAGCTTGTGTCGTTCCCTCCTACAACCCGAGAATGGAGCGATCCCACCTTCATGGTCTCACAGGGAGGGCGCTCTTCCTCTCTGACAGGACTGCTTTCTAAGTTGTAAGTTTTTCAGTTTCTAGTCCTGTCACATGTCTCGGTTGTTTCCCAGCGATTATTCAGTGCAAACCGTCTGCGGCTTGAGGCTGAGAGAGCGGCAGCGGCGTGAGCGCATCGCGATGGTCGTAAGCCTCAAAGCCGAGGGAAGAAATGAACTGCACACGGTTTTCTCTCTGCGTGGCTGACAACCAAAAACGGTGCAGCGACAAACAGGCCAGACGTTGGTTGTTTTGTGTTTGTGTAAGAGCAACGCGGCGGGCGCGGCGGCGGCATGTGAGCAGGAGCCAACCTGGACTTTGCGTTCTCAGACGGCCAACGGCGGCGCTTCAGGCTGCCGAAAGCTAAACGGTGCGGCCTTGGCCGTCCTCCGTGTGTGGGATGCCTCGTGATCTCTGCGTTCTTTATTTATTCAAAGTGACCTTTCGACTACCGAGGCGAGATTGCTTTGGGCAAACAGAGCTGGCATCTCAAAATATCAGGTAGGGTGAGTGTGTGGGTGGGCCGGTGATGAGGAGGCATCCTCCGTTGCCTGCGCTGGTTATCGAGCTGCCCTGGAAACTCGAAAGCTTTGCAAGCCCGGAATTCTACGAGAAGTCCCGGCTGGCAGGAAGCGGCAAATGAAGCGGTTGAGGTTAGATGTGGTGATGGGTTTTTGTCCTCATTAAAACAGAAGCCCCTGCCACTGCCTGCTCATTTGTATTCCGCAGCAATCCACTCGAGGTGGGTTTTGATTTAAGGGGGGGCGGATTTGGAGGGTGTAAGGCCGCTGGAGCCTGGAGGGGAAAAAAAGAATGAGTCTTGTAATTTCGTTTCACGCAAAAAGGCCCTGAAAGAGCAACTTTACATATGCTTTGTCCTCACTCACTTTCCAACTTTGTAATTAAAAGGCA